GATGCTCACACAATCACAGAAACGATCCCCAGATATTGCACTGCCATTTGACTGCAAATTCGTTCTATGTTAGTGGTAAGCAGCAAACAACAAAGTTCTAGGTGTCCTACCCTACAGTAGACTGTTAAGTCAACTATCTGCAAATAATCGACAAGAAAAACAAATTAACTATGTTATTAAGTAAATAACATGAAATAAATAACAAAAACGCACCAAAAACCAACTGAAATTCTAAAATTAACAAAAGTATTACAATGAAGAAGCCTACACATTACAAAACACGATAAAATGTCAAAAGTCAAAATAACAATATCAAATAACCATAGTTGGATATTAAACTCAATTTATGCTATGAAGACATTGGGTGCGTTCCATGCGTCTAACGATACATGAAGGGAAAAATACCAGACAAAGCAAAGCATACCCTGGTCAAATTAAATAAACATGTTGCATTTTCAAAAATTTTGCCTATAATATAATGTCCAAATGAACTCACTATTACATATGAACCGTTCAGCCTCCTTACTAACATTACCTGGATACCCTACTGAAGTAATTATCAAACGGCTCCTCTGTTCCTTGAGTGATTTAAATAAGTGTAACTTTTTATACATTAATTGTGATTATGAATTACTTGAACAACTTCCTAAACATAAAGTGCTCGTTTCTTATAAAAAACAGGTTAACGTTTTCGAACATTGTACTGGTGAATTTTATACTAGTGTTTTAATTAAAACTCGCTTGCATCATCACACGAAGACGGCTAAGCATTGCTTTAAGGCATGACAATAGCTTAATCGCTATAGACACAGCAAAAAAAACAAGAGATCACTTACTTAAGAATTACATGCTAACAAACAACAAGATTTTAACAAAAATGGTTCAAAATGCTCACCGGTTACTTCTGTTCATTTGGTCCTTGCGTGGGGTTCCTTCTACGTCCCTCATGTGAAATTGACGATCTTACACCCTATAGTAAGGGAGATAATAAACTTTCAATATTGCTTAATTAATATAAAAGTTAAAAAAAGAATATTGTAAAGATAAGGGGTGTAAAATGTTCACCGGTTACTTCTGTGCATATTATCCATGCGTGGGGCTCTTTCTACTTGCATCATGTGATTTTCACAATTTTAGACCAAATTATTAAGCAGAAACTTAACTTTCAAAATTGTTTTATATAATACGCAGTTAGGATATACAATTGCCTATACTGCAGTGTACGATGTGTTGCCTACCATTTTATAAACAATTCCTTTGAATTTAATTTTTTAAACAATTTCTAACACTAGGAAAATGATTAAACAAATTGTTCACAAAAGTGAATTTCGACCACTGGAGGCAATGGCGCTAACAGTTTCGAGCTTACCGTGACTGATATGTGAGAAGAACTAGTTAAAATAGAAGCAAAAGGAGGATTTTAAGAATAAGGGTTGCAAAATGCTCACCAGTTGCTACTATCCATATTGTCCTTGCGTGGGGGTAGCTCTATGTCCCTCATGTTGTTTTTACAATCTTAGACCATATTGTAAGGGTGAAACTAAAGATTTAAATTGTTTAACTAAAATAAAAATAAAAACAAGAAGATTTTAAAACTGAAAGGTGCAAAATTCTCACCGGTTACTTCAGTCCATATTGTCCATGCGTGGGGCTCTTTCTACGTCCCTCGTGTGATTATGACAGTCTTAGGCCCTACAGTAAGGGAAAAATTAAGCTTTCAATATTGCTTAATAAAAATAAACGTGAAAACAAGAAAATTTTAAAAATGACAGGTGCAAAATGCTCACCAGTTGCTTCTATCCAGATTGTCCTTGCGTGGGGCTAGCTCTATGTCCCTCATGTTATTTTTACAATCTTAAACCATATTGCAAGAGTGAAACTAAAGTTTTAAATTGCTTAACTAAAATAAAAATAAAAACAAGAAGATTTTAAAAATGAAAGGTGCAAAATACTCACCGGCTACTTCTGCCCTTATTGTCCTTGCGTGGGGCTCCTTCTACGTGCCTAATGTGATTTTGACAATCTTAGACCCTATAGTAAGGGAGAAACTAAACTTTCAGTATTGCTTAATTAAAATAAAAGTAAAAGAAAGAAGATTTTAAATATAAGGGGTGCAAAATGCTCACCGGTTACTTCTGTATATTTTGTCCCTCCGTGGGACTCTTTATACGCCAATCATGTGATTTTCGCAATTTTAGCCCCTATTATAAAGGAGAAACATAACTTTCAAAATTGTTTTATAAATCACGCAGTTGGGATATGCAATTTACTATGCTGAGGTGTACGATGTGTTACCTGCCCATTTACAAACATTTCTTTTTTAAACAATTTGTAACACAAGGAAAATGATTAAACAACTTGTTAACAAAAGTGAAGTTCGACCACTGGAAGTAATGGTGCTTACAGTTTTGAGCTTATCGTGACTGATAAGTGGGAAGAACTAGTTAAAATAGCAGCAGTACTTTCAAAATTGCATAATTAAAATAAAAGTAAAGGAAAGATTTTAAGAATTAGGGTTGCAAAATTATCACCGGTTACTACAGTCCATTTTGTCCTTGCGTGGGGCTTCTCCTACGTCCCTCATATAATTTTGACAACCTTAGATCCTATACTAAGGTAGAAATTAAACGTTTAAAAGTGCATAATTAAAATAAAAGTAAAAGAAAGATTTTGAAAATGAAGGGTGGAAAATGCAAAACCGGTTACTTCTGTCCATTATGAAAGTAATTCCTCCTATTAGTGCAATATCAGTATATCACACTTTAATAAAACGACTTTTGGGAATGAAAACTTTTCCTCTCGTGCATTTTTACATAGTTTAGGAAACAATTGTTTATTGCTTCTTAAAAGATTCACATAATATTATAATATGTACATCACATATAGGTACATACTTAACTTATTATATACATTCAATTCATGTACAAAAAGTTTCTCTTAATTGATAATAAGAAAGGTGTATTACGATTCCTTCAGGTATCAATGAATAATATAAATTCCTACGTTAGTATTTGTAAATATTTATACATATAATAATTTTCAGGGTTCGACTAGTATTTAAAATATTATAAAATAGTAATTTATAAATCATAATAACAACAACAACAACGCACGCACGCACACATACGCTGTACATACAAGTTCGAAGAAAATATAACAAATATTCTAAATATGCAAATGTACAAAGCAAAGTTAAAATAAAACATTTGAGAAACCTCGACATATGTAATTTTCCATGAACAAATTTCTTTTTTAATTGCAAACAACAAATAATAAAACTTGTTAATTAATCGATATGTAAGGAGCTTAACAATAATTGCAAGCCCAGTCTCTCGTTAGGTTCTTCGATATGTGACGATTATTAATCGCATTAATTCATAGAAATATCAAACGATCGAAATGTCGACACGTCTCCCCTAATTAAGAAATTCGTGTAAAATACAACAAACAACCTGCTTGGGCTAATTTTCAAAGTACTTATAAAGAACATGAAAGGCGATTAGGAAAAGAGAAAGAATTTTGTTTTTTGAGCATATTTATCGTTCACATCTTCTCTAGAAAATAAGTAGAAATATGTAGGACTTTATTTAAAAAATTACTATCATCACATACCGTTCGTTATTAATTACATATGTAAATTTAGGTATTACTACAGACCAACGAGCACAGTACTGCATTAAAAACGACGAGTTTAACAAATTTCATTATGAAATTTACTTTTAGTTAATAATTAATTTCAGCGGCTTCATATACCATAAATTGAAAAAAAAAAATGATAGTGAAAATTATAAGGGTGACATGAGCACACAAAAATCTCAATTGTTGTATGGTATTGTATTGGTTAATTTTTGGCTGTATATTGGGCTTTCCGCTTTCTACTGGCCAGCATATCGTAAAAAGGATTATGACTTATACTTTGACTTAATCTGTTCATCCAATCGATCTTTTCCTCTTCGCTACTTGCCGACATTCTATAAACCGTATGCTTACCCTCGACAACTTTACCTTCCGAATCTGTTTTACAGGCCTTTATGAAATCCGCACCTCCACTTGCATAAAGTTCAAAGCAATGTTGTTTTTGACGATCGGTACATTCTCGGACGGAGATGTTCTCCAATGGGATGATACCTCGGGGCTCCTTATCTGTCGTGTATTCAAAATAATACAGGCAGTTATCGTTTAGAATGAACCAGCGCCGTTTCCAACTTTTATAACGACCGCCTTGTTTCCACAGCCAACCTTCTTTGTCCGGATTAAAAAACGTATGCATTAAATCGTTACCATCATCTTCTGGAATCTTAAAAGGCTCAGCTTTGATACTTTCATAAAGACCCTGCAAACATTAATCAATATCATGATAACGAACGAAGAAGCTTTTCTTCTACTAAACCGACACAACCATAAAAAAAAATTCAATCATACTATGATCACACATGAACTTACCACCAGTAATTCTCTTGGTAAATCCTGTCCCATATTGATGCCTCGATTCATATTAATAAACTGATCGATCGTTGGTTTTTCTTTAACGCTTGGATTGTGGAGACTCGTGTTCAGCATGATGATGGCAAATGAAAGAACATAACACGTGTCCGAATTTTGAAATATATTATTTTCTCCCTGACATTCACAGTATCTTTTTGCAAAGCATTCCATCATCCTATCGATCTTTTGTGCTTCTCCTGGCAAACGGAAACTCCACAAGAATTGTCTACGAATAATAATACTTATTACTTTGATAATAATTGTAGGCATTCTCATCTTGTTATACGGACAAATTAATGAAACTACAATAATACGGTATTTTCTAATTTGTAAAGAAAAAGGAAATTTCAAAAAGTACGCCGTTAATTTCTCTNATTACGACACATGACCTAGCCTTACCTAACCCGTCGCCATGCAATCGGAATCGATCCATCCCGATCTGATCTGAACTGACCCCAAATGACTTGACCCGACCTAACAGTAACCTATTCGACCGGACCAGAAATAATAGACCTGAGGCTAGCCAACACGGCCTGACCTGAACCGACCCGACTTGACCTGACCTAACCTGACTCGACCCAAAGCAGCCTTACCGGCCCTGACCTGACCTGACTTGACATGACCTGACCGAGCCTGAAATAGTACGACCTAGTGACCCTACTTGATATGACGCGAACTGGCCGAAGTCGACTTGGCCTGAAATGACACGACCTTGTGTCCCGATTTGACCTGACAACGCAACACGAATTAACCTGACCTGACCCGTCCCAATACGTCCTCACCTGCCCCGACCTGACCTAAACTGTCCCTATATGACCTGACCCGCCTGTATAGGCCAGGCCTAACCTAACGCGATCTGTCCTAACGACCCGACCCGACTTAACCTCACCGCTCCCGACAGTGACCCGACCTGACCTTACCCTACATGACCTAAACTGACACGACCTAACCTGACCCGACTTAAAGTTACCAGACTTTACCTATCCTGACCGAACAGAACCTGACCGAACCCAAACTGACCTGGCCTAACCCGACGTAGCACGAGTAACCCGATCTCACCCGACCCAATGCGACCTGACCCGACCCGATCTGAACGGAATTAACCAACCTGATCTGACCCGACCTTACCTAATCCGACGTGACCTGACCTATGTCGACCTTAAATGACCCGACTAGACCGGACCTGATCTGACCTGGCCCGACCTGACCTGACCTAATCCGATGCAACACGAATTAATCCGACCAGACCCAATAAGACTTGACCTAATCCAACCCGACCTGAACTGATTCCACTTGGTCTGACCAGACCAAAAATACCCTGACGTTACCTGACCTGACCTAACCTGACGAGACGACCCCTACATCTAATTCTACTAGACCCCAAAAACGTAACGTTTATCACTTACCTGTTACATGAACCCTGCTGAACCGTATGGGACAAGGCATAATCTCCTGACACCGGACACAACTCACTGACTCCCGAGTACTGCATTCCCAGACCGCAACAAACAAGGGGCGCCAACAGCTACAAGACAAAAAACCTTCCACGTCCGTAGGTTTCCATCTACTATCCATCAGTTATTTAATACCGTAATCCGATCACAACGCCGAACGGCGCTTATCTGAAACAAAGTACCGTGCATCAAATCCCGTACAAAGAATAACAAGTCGACGACACCAAAAGTCGCACCCTTGGCTGGCACAACGTTCAGAACGTCGTACCTGGATTCCAAAAATACATTTCACACCACACATACTACCGAACGTGGACACCGCACCCCATCTTTCCTAACACCGCACCCTGATACAACACTCCCTACCTCACACTCTCGTACAGCACCTCAGTATTCTACCCCTGATTTCTACTACCGGCACGGACCCCTATATCGCACTCTTCATACCGAACATGGAAATCTGATTACGGACGTCCGGCCTCTGCAGCAAACACCGCACCCCGATTCCGGAATATTGCTGTCCGATTACCGCATCGGATACGGGGCACAACATTCCCGACCTCGAGATAGGACCACTCCCGCAGGACCATGGTTCCTGTCTCACACGCCGTTTTTTCGTACCTACTTCAACTGTCACACGTAGTGCGAGATAGTAAAGCCCGGATCGCTGATACCGAGCCCCAAAAACTGCTACTGACACTACCGGAGACCCTTCAAAGTACCAGGCACTGGACATATGACGCCGGACACCAACCACCGGCTGTCACATCCCCACGTCGAAATATCGGATGCCTGTTACCGGACCCCCCTCCCATTAAATATTCGTAACTGCCGTTGTACCACCATATCGGATCTTTTTCCATGGCACCGAAGCTCGGATCACGGACACATCTGATTTCCGGTACCTAATACAGAACTTCCTACTGAACACTAGCACCGTAACCATTACTGTCTTTCTCGAAACCGAACCACTGACAACGGATGCCGGACCCCTGGTAGCAAATCCCGGCAACGCACAACTGATACCGCTCACCGAACCACACATACCCAACACGTACCTCAATCCTGAACTATACACCTTAAACCGAACAGCGGACACCTGAACAAAAATATATGTTCAATACACGGCATTGCCTATTTGGCACCGAACATGATAGCTGTCGCCTATACCACACCGGCCATGAGGCGTTCAACACACTTCGAACACCACAGTACATCATACACTGGTTATCAGACAATGCTAAACAGACAACGGGCGCGGATTCAAGATACCAGATGGTGGGAGTGGCGTTAGATGTGTATGGTGTTGCGCGATAGTTGGCATAACTAGGGCATGAAGTGTGTGGCTATTTACTGTGGATGTGCTATGAGGCATTTAGGGTACGAGACTTGGGTGTGGGATATGGTGTGATATGAGGCTTGCATACAGATGAACAGAAAAATAACAAATCCACACCGTAGCATTATTAAACAAACAACATATTACAACTTCCAAACTTACTGTACAGTTGTTAAAGAAAATGTACTTCTTATGTATTTAAAACTAATAAAAATACTAAAATGTTAAATGTACTCACTATGAATTATTAATTCATCTTCTATAGCTATAGCATGCATAGCACCTTAAAGTAATTATGAACTTATTTCTCAGTTTATATCAATAAATAGTATAATGGACTTTATTCCCACCACTATTCACTGCCAATTCGTGTTAGGTTAGCGATAAGCAGCACACAACAAAGTCCAGGGAGTCCTACAACACAGTAGACAAGTAAGTCAACGATCTGCTAATAATCGACAAGAAAAACAAATTAACTACATTATAAACGAAATAATATGAAATATATAACAAAACAGCACCAAAAGCGAAATGAACTAGCAAAATTAACAAAAGTAGCCCAATGTCAAATGAACTCGCTAATATATATGATCAGTTCAGCTATCTATCAACCTTCTTCTCCTTTCGTTAACTGATTCAAATGATTGTAACTTTGTATTTATTAATAGTGAACACCTATTACTTAAACAGCTTGCTAATCGTAAAGTGCTCGTTTCTTATAAAAAGTAACTTAACGCTTTCGAACATTGTACTGGTGATGCTCACACAATCACAGAAACGATCCCCAGATATTGCACTGCCATTTGACTGCAAATTCGTTCTATGTTAGTGGTAAGCAGCAAACAACAAAGTTCTAGGTGTCCTACCCTACAGTAGACTGTTAAGTCAACTATCTGCAAATAATCGACAAGAAAAACAAATTAACTATGTTATTAAGTAAATAACATGAAATAAATAACAAAAACGCACCAAAAACCAACTGAAATACTAAAATTAACAAAAGTATTACAATGAAGAAGCCTACACATTACAAAATAAATTAATTGTCAAAATTACAATATCAAATAACTATAGAAACATGTTAACCTCAATTTAAACTATGAAGAAGTTGGGTGCGTACCATGCGACTAACGATACGTGAAAGGAAAAATACCAGACAGAGCAAAACACCCTGGTCAAATTAAATAAACATGTTACAGTTTCAAAAATTTAGCCTATAATATAATGTACAAATGAACTCACTATTACATATGATCCGTTCAGCCTCCTTCTTAACATTACCTGCATACCCTACTGAAGTAATCATCAAACGGCTCCTCTGCTAATTGAGTGATTTAAATAAGTGTAACTTTTTATAAATTAATTGTGATTTCGAATTACTTAAACGGTTTCCTAAAAATAAAGTACTAGTTTCTTATAAAAAGTGAGTTAACGTTTTCGAACATTGTGCTGGTGAATTTTATACTAGTTTTGTTGATAAAAACTCCCTTGTATCATCACAGGGAGATGTTTCAGGGTTGCTTTAAGACATCATAATCACTTAATCAACATATAGTCAACAACTAAGAACAAGCGATTACTCACTTAACAATTAGATGCTCACACAATCACAGAGACGATCCCCAGATATTGCACTGCCATTTGACTGCAAAT